AGTGAACTGATATTCAAATCTTTGTTAAAAGAGATACTAATATTTAATGCATGATAGTATTTTGAACAGAATTATTTTCAATAGAAATATATACACACACATATGCGTAGCAGAAAAGAGAAGAAACAATTTATGGCTCATAGCGAGCCATTGGACTTTGTGCAACCATGCACCGAATCCAGATGCCCTCATAGAAGCATATGATTGGGCCTAAGACACAAATGGGCCATTTTGCTATTTCTGGCGAGAGGGGGTAAAAAATAGTGCGCAGATAGGACCAACACCCACTGCCGGGACACAAATGCACACGCCAACGTTGAGTTGCCATTTATAGAGGGAAAATTACATTGCGTTTCTGCATAAGGATTCTACTCCTCTAATCCTAAATATAAAACTTATTTTGTAGTACAAATTATACTAATTATATTATAAAATGGATTTTATATATATTTAGAACTAAAAGAGTAATTCTTAAAAAATCCCATGAAATATACAAAGGGTTTGATGTCCTTTTATCAAAATTCTCTTAATTAAAATCCTCTTATGGCCAATTGGCCATGTTAGGATTCGAGACCACTAGATTCACTTAATAAGAACCCGCAAAATATTATATATATATATATATATATATTAGTTTTGTCAGTTGCAAAACTTTAGCTGTCAATTCTAATATGATAGTTGTCAATAGAAAATTGTAAACTTTAGTATAAAAAATCCACAGCTCATCTTATGAAACCTACTAATGATAAATTACTGATTTCTTATGCTAAAGTTATTAATTTCCTGCATTCAAATTGTTAATCTTCCATTCACAACTATCCCACTAGAATTGATAACTTTAGTATAAAAAATTTACAACTAATCTTATTCATCTTTCTCTCTAATACGACAACTAAAATAAATAATTAATTAGAGCAGAATAGGAAACTAATCTAGAAAAATTGAGACATCTTGTAAATTTTTTTAATAAAAAGAGACGAAGTAGAGATAATAATTGTTACTCATGAAAAGAGACTGAGGGTCTTGTCCTAAATAAAAAGTACTACCTCCGGTCCTTAATATAAGATCCTATTTAACTTTTTGTTTGGTCCTAATTATAAGACCCCAATCCATTTTGTCTCTCATATTTATGCATTTTTTTTCAAAATAGTCCTTCTAATAATGATAGTTCTAGTCAATACACTTAATTAACAAGGATATTTTAGGAATGACAACACTTATTTATTACAAATAACTAAATTAACTTACTTCCTTAATCTCTTCAAAAAAGTCAACTGGGTTTTATAATTAAGACCGGAGGTAATATAATTTACAGTATAAATTACTGTATAAACTAAATTTTATATTTAAAATTGAAGACAATAATATTTTATAATTGTGGCGTGTAGTTGGATGGCTTAAAAGACTGAAGAAGCCCACTTTCTGGGGGTCTCATCCGGTGGGGCCCCATCCTAATCATGTCCACGTTATTGTGGTCACTGCCTTCGTTTTATCCTCAATGTTTTCTCACTTTTGTTCTCTTCTTAATCCTAGTTTCTCCACACAACCTTGCCCAGCTTCTTATATTGGCGTCCTCAATTTATAACTCAAAAGCTAATTTTCTGATTCACTCTCATATTCTTTCCCACCACTATCCTCAACTTCCTTACCTAGTTACCTCCGTTATTAATATAAGATTTAGTTAAATAATCCAGAGAGATTAAAAAAATTAGTTAAATTAGTTATTTGTAATAAATATGTGTCATCGTTCCTAAAATATTCGTTCTAATCATATGTATTAGTTTAAACTACCAGTTGATTAAACTTTTTTTGTGTGTAACTATTTGATGGAACTTTTAATATATATAACTACTATAAGAATTATTTATTTTGAAAAATAAATAAATAAGAAAGATAAAGTGGATTGATATATTATATTTTGAATCAAATTAAAAGTTAAATTTGCTTTTATATTAAGGATTAGAAGTAGTATTAAATTTAGCATACGATTGACTCGGGAAAAAAATCGGCACACTATTGATGAGTTGAATTAAGAAAAGGGAATTTCTTACTTTTTTTAATATTAATGTTAGATAAGTAATGGCTCGAGTGAAAGGGGTTATGGTGTTGGCCCAAAAAAAGAATAAGGTTATGGCTACTTAATACAAAATCTTGAGTTTAAATTTATGTGAATATTAAAAAAAATCAAAATAGTTATATTGAAAAAAATAAATAGTTTTATTTCTTGTTTGGGGTTCAATTGAATCAAAACTTAAAGGGTTAAAAGTCGTTTTTACTGTGAAACTATTCGCGAAGAAACTGCAAACATACAAAAAAAATTTTACTCAATGTAGCTCTGAAATTTTTTTTTTTAAAAAGAAGCAATTTGTTAGAAAATTAATATTAATGTTAACCGTAAGACAATGGCGACGTTGTTTTTTTTTTTTTACCATGCTAAAATATACCACCTCATATTCTAATTATAAAATTTTATTTATAATTTACAAACAAGTATTAAGTAGAAGGAAAAAATTGAACACCTACAGCTCCTTTACAGTTGCTTTCATGGCAAAAATACTGTTAACCCATAATTTTGACACATCAATAATACCGCGTAGCAAATGATTTTTTTCATTAGACTGTGGATATGTCCATATTTGAAAAAACGTGGAAGAGAGGGAAAGATCAGGGAGCGAGACAGAAAAGGAAAAGCCATATCGGGTTAAATAAAAGCAGATGCAGGCTTTGTCTCCCTTTCAAATTTTGTGGTAAAACTAATTATGCATATGTGTGTGGTTGTTATTTAACATATGAGCTGCCTCGAAAGGTATTGGATAGTCAAATCAACCATTTATTTTAAAATGTCTATATTCTAAATACAAAGAACCTCATTGTTGCCTCCTATGACCCATCCATTCATATTACTGTTCTGTGTATGTGGACCGTTCATCTACAATTTTATATGTGGCATCTATTCATTATATCCCACTTCCACGTAAGGTTTACGTCTACATGCCTATAATTGAACGATATTCAGAATCATTTAACTTTTTCTTAAAAATTATTTATTAACTAGATTTTAGGTTTTGTTTTTCTTCCTTTCTTTTGACGGAAAGGTTTGTCAACACCTAATAGCCAAGCAGTTTGCTTGGGTCATGTCTTTGAAAAGATTCTCAGGCGTTGTAGTTTGCGGCATTTGAGAGGAATGGACGAGATCAGAACGTGGAACACAGCGATTCCATTTATTGGTTATATAAAGTTCAGCATATATCCTCCAGTGCTGGGCTCATCATTTTCCCCTTTTTTCCATTTTTTTTTGCACTTTAAAGTATGAGAAATTAGGCCGAAAAAGTATGAATAATGTATAAGGTCAGAAAATATCATATAGCGTATGCATATAAAAGCATGTGAATTTTGCCATCTCACTGCACAATTGCTTGACTAAAATATGCATTCAAATACCATAACAGCTCCCATGTAAGTGAGGTTTACAAACTTAATCCTACTTATAATCTTAAGTCGTTAATATTTATTTTTTTAATCCAAATAAAATGTCTCTATTTGGCATATCATTTGTTATGTTCAAATTTAAAAATATGCTAATAGAATCATTAAGAAAACATGTTTAAAGTTCAATCCTATATAATGTTTTATAGGGTTATATATAGAAATAAGAGTTTAGTATCCTGCAATAAATTAAAACTAGTTTTAAATTGATGGCCTATAAAAAGAGTAGCTTTTATTTAGATTATATGCGGAACTAATTATGAAAGGGAAAGCAATTAGACTGCAAATAAGGTTTATAAATAAGATCAAAGGTAGTATTTATCAAATTAAGTCACATTTTTTTTTCCAAAGTTTCCTAATAGTAACGGGCTAACCCTCTTTAAGGGATTTCTGAGAGGTTCTGGCTCCCCTTTTAAATTTACCTAATCAATATTAATTTCCTAATTATGATGTTTCCCTAATTTCTTTTTTGGTCAGAATGATGTTTCCCTAATTTAAATACATTTATTAGGCAGATTGATTTGGTTTGGGATAGTTCGATCCGCCCGTTTGGGAGAAGCCGGAAGCTTGTATAAAACACATTAGATGTTATATAATTTTATCTATGCATTCACATTTTCTTAATACAAAATCAATTATATAAAATGAAAAAAAATTCATTTTATATAATTGATTAATTAATAAAACATCCAGTAATTAAAATAAATTGAACGCAAGATTGAAGCAAAGAATGGAGCCTGTAATTTTATCAGGAAAGAAAAAAAAGGACTGGAGACTGTAATGTTATGACCTGTAAAAAAATACTTTATTAATATAAAATATATAAAATTGGCTGTTTTAAAATAAAGAGCATAATAAATCATGGCAGTCATTTCATATCGGGATTATAGAAGATTCGATCCATCGCTCTCTAGGATGGTAGAATTTGTGTGGTTTGGAAGTAATCTATATTTTTCTGGGTTTTGCTAACTTGTTACTCGTTCCGTTCTTTATTGATGTTTATGACATGTTCTTATATATAAAAGACACTTAAAACTTATTTTTATTTTTTTATTGATTTCTTATTTTACCTCTATTTATTTTGTTTCCAACTCATACTCTCTCTTTTCTTCCCATTTCTCTTTCTTTTAATAATTTAATTGTTCTCTTTCATACTTTCTTTCCTATTAATAGGGACATTATTAGAAAAAAACATTATACTTTTTATATATTAATTGTCCTCAACTAATTTTAACTGTTTTTTTTATCAACGTGATTTGGTTATTTGTCTCATAATAAATAACACACATTCCCACGTTCTGGGAGAAAGTTAATAAAATCAAAGTGACGTAAACCTGTGGTCGTTTACCATATGCCTCTCGCTCCTCTCGATCATCGCCAACATGGAAGAGCAACAAGTTCAGATTCTTTTGTTGCCACCAGTATTTCCCAGAGAACCACAACCAGAATCAGTTAACGTGGTTCTTAAGCATTGGAAACAGACACAAGAAAAGTAGCCAACACAATTTACGTCGTTTTAAAGCAGCATCTGGAGCCAAGAACCTTCTTGCCTTGAAAGAATTGAACAACACCACAGGATTTTACTCAATTCGAATTTCAAACAACCAATACAGAGCTGACTTTTCATTTCAGACAGACGATGTCATACTGCATAAATGTAAAACAGGGCATAAATTCGGGATAACTAAAGAGTTAAATTTTGAAACGTTCTAAGATTCTTCGTCATCATCAACTCCCTTGCTCAGAAATCCTTCAACAACTTGCGAACCTGTTCAAGCGTCACAAACAGCACCACAGTAAACGGTCCTTGCCTCGAAATCGTTGGGATAAAACCTTTGTACAGTGCCATAGGACCTTCAGCCCGAACAGTTTTCAGAGCACAGTCCAACGCCCCGGAGTACGGTGGCTGTGCCCCCGGCTCCACCTTCATGTTCATTACCCTTGTCTTTATCACGTCCACCGGATTCGACGCTACGGCTGCCACAAACCCTGCCGCGAAGCTCGCCGTCACGTGGGTCCCAAGCCCATCGCGCATAACTCCCTTCGCCAGTATCGCCTCCTTCACCTGATCGTAAGTAGCCAGTTGCGATGCCGTCACAAGCATCGCCCGGTTCACCGTAAGCGACGATCCGCGCCACAGGCTAGTCACTCCCTCTTGCTTTCCCATTCGGGTGATTGCGTCCACAACTGATGTGTAGTTCCGGCGTTGAGCCGGCGGGAGCCGACCGTCGGCTTGCATTCGAACCATGGCTACATCAGCCGGATTTCCGATGGCAGCACCGATGGCCCCAGAGATCAGACCGGCGCCGATTTTGCGAGACAACGGCATGGTGCCCTTGTTGGGATCGGACCATTTCTGCCTGAGAACCTCGTAGAGACCCATTCGGGTGGTGGAGTAGAGGCACTGACGGAGAACGGTGGCGGAGACGCCGGAGAAAAGAGCGGTTACGCCTTCTTGTTGGATAAGGCGTACGCCAACGGTAATGGGACCCACGCGAGCAGGCGCCGCAGCGGCAGCGGCCGCTGCCTGTGGGATCGGAGGCACGACCTGGTGGACGGAACCAGGTTGAAAGGCGAGAGCTGGTCGGAGGCTGTGGACCGCCGGATTGGGTTTGGGTGCATGGTTCTCGCCCTGGAGCTGCATACGGACCTTGATGAGGTCGAGAGGGTGAGTGGAACACCCGGCAACAACGGAAGCTATGCCTCCTTCAACAAAACCCTTGACACCCATTTGGGATTTTCTGGGCAAGCAAGCAAAAGAATAGATCTATTGAGGCAAAATTGAAAGAATGGATGTGAGGATGGTGTTAGCCGGTGAGAGAAAATTTGGGGGAAAAATTGAGAAGAGGGATTGAAGCAAAAGAAGAAGAGGTTAGAGGAAATTAATGACAATAGGACCAGTTGGAGTTAGGGTTCATCTCACTGGAAACCAGGAGATGGGAATGGAGGCCACAAGCTATGGAAGAGGAGTGTGGAACGGAGGGCCTCTGAGACATATGCTGGCGGCTACGAAAAAACAAATGTGGGGTGAGAAGAATGAGAGAGGGGAAAGGAATTTATACGGAACGATGAAGAAGGAAGGCAGAAGCTGGCCGTAGCAGTGGGGCCCACTGATATCTCACGCGATTACGGACGCTGCGAATTGTAAACATATCGTTCCGAATTTCACGCGTTAGTGGGGCCCTTCCATTCACTAGGTCTTTCACGCCCTCTTCTTTTTTCACACTCGCAAATCGGTCCTGCGGTTACAATTTTCATTTTTGTTTTTTCTTAAAAAAAAAAAAAGAAGGTGATGAGGCCTTTAGCTGTGGCAAGTGGGATTGACCGACGGTGGAGGTGCAGTTCATAGCTAAAGGTCCAGAGGTGGATGCCAAGCGGGATCTTTTAATTTAACGGGGGATCAAAGTCGTTGCCGCTTATGTGAAACCTCTTTATATGAAAAATAAAAAGGGTTTGATATGTTGCTTCAAACAAAGATGACGGCAGCTCCAGAACATGAATTCTTGTGTTTGGACGCAATATTCATCAAGGATTACTGATGCAGATCAGGGATTAAAGAGAGGAGAGAAAAAAATTAGATGCATAGAAAGAGAGGAGAAATATAAGTAAAGAATAAAACTTCATTTTATTCAATTCATAATATGCTTATAAAACGAGAGTTACTATAAGAGAGAACATTTCAAAATTATAAAAGTAAATACAAATGACAATTCATGATAAAAAAATAATAATAAATTAAAATTAAACAAAATATTTCCCTGTTATCTCATTAATAGTTAAGTATCTTTTATTGTTTCCAAATCTTCTCGGATTTTCTCACTCATCTTTTCTTCTTTCTTTTCTATTTCCCCCCAATTATATACTTTCCCTTCAGAAATTTCAAAACTCCCGCAATAAATTGAAAGAAATTCTTGTATGCTTTATAAAATAATACTTTTTAAATATATTTATTTTGTATGCTACAAAATTACATAAAATAAATTAATTCAATGCACATGCTCAAATCATCTACTTTAACTAATGGATTCGTAGTCTACTAACACGAAAGCTGTTGAGTAAGTAGGAAATTATAAGTTCAATTTTGGTTATAACTTTCTAATGTAAAAAAGTAAAAATAACAAATAAAAACCTTAAAAATTGAAAAAACTCAAATCAAGATTTGTTACAACATTTTAATTCTTATTTAAAAAAACCTTATTTAGGATTTTACAATTTTGACTATTACTTTTATCATTTTTCCTTTAAAAAAATCAGAGGGCGGTATTTATAGTTATACATTATAATCAAATTTTGCTAGAAAAGTCGTTTTGAAAATTCAAGTGCTTCCAAATATATGGGGCTTGGGGCCAGTCCGCGAACATTAATTGTAATAATAGAAGACAGAGTCAAGGGGGGCGAAGGGGGCACGCGCCGGTCAAGCATGAGGGGTTTTGAGTGTGTCAACGTTAATGACCTCATGACGGTTACGGCTACATTTTTATTCCTAATTGGCCGGTCAGCCTGGAGCTACAAATTTTGTGAGGAATGGAAATGAAATGGTTTGATTGGTTACGAAAGAGCAGGGAGGGCCTCTCCTCTCGTCTGCCTCTTCAATCTCCTGGGGATAGCGGGTTGGGTTGGGTTGGGGCTGGGGGGGTAAATGGATTGGCTGTGGAGATGGCGGGAAGAGGGGAAGTGTGCTGAGGGAGATCCACGCGTCCCCTAATTAGGAAGCATCCAGATGAGACCGTCATGCCGGGGCCTCCCTGTCCTAGGTGCCATCTGGGGCAGGCCTTAGCCATGGGCCCCGCAACAGCGCGCTTTTCTTTTATTGCGCATCCCCCACCAATTCCTTATTTTTTAATTATTTTATCTCCCCCACGGCCCCACTTTCTCCTGATTTTTTTTAATATAATAATTGCTCATTATCCTATTGTTCACATTTCATCCCAGTGTTCACGCCCTCCACAACAATAGAAAGCTCCTTTTTCTAAAATTCTACGTAACATCCAACCAAACCTTACCGACTGACTCCTCTTTTCATTTTTTTTAATTATGATTAATAATTTTTCTATTATTAACTGTTAAAATATATATGGATGTTTGTAAATTCACCTATAAATACTTGTAAATATCGATATTAACTAAATTAAGATTTATAAATTATCATATGAACACTAATTATTTTATTATTATTTGTTAAAATATGTATTTACACTTATAAATTTATATATGAATTTGAATTTTTTTTTGGGGACTAGCTACATATGAATTTGACTTGATGAATATAAACAACTTGACATAAATTTTATCATTTCACACACATATAAAATATTTTCGTCATAATTATTAAATACTCCTCCGGTCCTTATTATAAGACCCCATTTGACTTTTTATTTGGTCCTAATTATAAGACCCCAATCCATTTTGTCTCTTATATTTATGCATTTTTTCCAAGATAATCCTTCTAATAATGATAGTTTTAGCCAATATACTTAATTAGCAAGGATATTTTAGGAATGACAACACTTATTTATTATAAATAACCAACTTAACTTACTTCCTTAATCTCCTCAAATAAGTCAATTGGGTCTTATAATTAGGACCGGAGGAGTAACAATTACTTCTATTATATACTACCTCCGGTCCTTAATATAAGACCCTATTTGACTTTTATTTTGATTCTAAATATAAGACCCCAATTTACTTTGTCTCTCATCTTTACTCAATTTTTTCCAAGATAATCCTTCTAATAATTGTAGTTCTAGTCAAGACACTTGATTAGCAATGATATTTTAGGAAAGATAACACCTATTTAGGAGAAATAACTAACTCAACTTACTTCCTTAATCTCATCAAATTAATCAACTGGTTCTTATAATTAGGATCGAAGGTGGTAGTTTTTATTGCAGGTGGTATGATCTATCTTGCCCACTGAATGTTTGTTTATATTCTCTATTTCACTACATACTATCCCTAACAAATTTTGAACTTTCACTAGTCACTTTCGTATACTGATTCCATTTATAGCTAAATCAGTTATTTTTACGAAAATCTGTTGTTATTTGTGATTTTCACATTCTATCTAATTTACTTTTTATTTAGAGTTAATTACAATCATAGGTTGAAATTTAATATGTAACTTGACCGTTTTTACGTCATATAAAATAAAAACTCATGTATGTCCATGCTATGCTGGAACTATATATGTAATTTTTTTCTTCTTTTATTACTAGTATCAAATGTGGATTGAGATTTAAACCTGAGTGTGTAGAAACAACTTGACTTTTAATCAAACAAGAATTTCCAAGGCTCTCTTCTGTAATTTTCCAGCATATTCCCGAGTATATAGTACATGAAAAGAAGTAGTATTTTCTAAATATTAGTGCTTTAATAATATCTTTTATATTTAAACTCTCTTAACCTCAAAGCCTAAAACATGAAACTCTCTTGACCCAAAACAAAACTACTTATATGTTTAATATGAAGGTTTAGCATGTTATTTTGAAAAACAATTTCAACTTTTTTTCACCGTAGAGAGGCAAGATTAACTTGAAGGGGAAGAGTTCAGGCCAAAAGCCCAAGAACAAAACAAATAATAAACAAAGTAAACTAAATCAAATCCAAAATGAGTTGGCTTAGCTCGAACATTAGGGTGAAGTTCTTGAAGAATTTGAACCCCGTCACACACAGCAGGCTCCAAAATTTGCTGGCTCTGTGCCAAATGTTGATCTATCTTCACTGGATTTAGTAAATACTATATCTAATTCTTAATATAATAACTAGTTGACTAATTTGAGTAGATTAAAAAAATTAGTTAAGTTGGTTATTTGTAGTAACTAGGTATTGTTTTTTCTAAAATGTTCTTATTAATCAAGTGCATTAGTTAGAACTATCTAATTATAACGACTATCTTGGAAAAAATAAATAAGTATGAGAGACAAAATGGATTGGAGTCTTATATTTAGGATTAAGATAAAAGTCAAATGAAATTTTATATTAAAAATCGGAGGTACTAATATTCGAGCTTCTTGATAAATATCTTCACTGCATTTAATGGCTTCATGCATTTGTCTTTCAAGGGCTTCAATCTTATCCTGCATGAATATAGAACAGAGAAGGCTTAGACAACTTAAAGGGTTAGGATTCTTCTTTGCATCATCAATGTTTTTAACTTCAATTGAACATAGAAGCACTTATTAACACACTAAGCAAATAGATCTTCACAAACAATTCAAGAACTTAAAAATGAATAGTGTTAGATAGCATATTAGCATGCATGCTCAACCAGCTAAACTTTGGATGGTTGAATCTGCAATTTCTGATCTTGGTCTGACTGTAACAGTTGAGCAACTTGATTTCTTAGCTGAGCGTTTTGTTCCTTCTCAATCTTATGCTGATCTGCTCTGACCGCAGCTTACAAAACCGATAAGATTGCTTATCAACAAGCTGTACTTAAGCATGGTCTTATGTTAAGAGCTCACGATCAAGTGTTGCACAAGGTTGGTATGGTTTGCAAAGAATCAATGGGTCATAAGTCATGGGGAAAAATATATATTTTCAAGTCTCAAAAAATTACATATGGCCCAGTTTTTGGAGTAACACCAACTAAAAAACAAAACAACACGTTGGGTCAAGACGAAGAAGAAAAGATAATTAAAACCCATCCTGATGATTTAAATGAATATTACTTGATGCACAGTGGACTAGATAAAGCCTCTGCCTATGGCTGTGAAATAATCACTCGATAATTGCAGCATAAATGTTCTCATTCTAGCATGAAATTGACACGAATTACCCAAAAGACTAGTATGACTCAAATACCATGCAAAGTAAGCAAAATTATCAAATCAACAAGCAAGCCGTCAATACATAGATTTCAGAAGTTGTCCAGAACCACCTTTAAATCTATCTCAAAATGCGAAAGAATATGCTTTCTGCATTTCATTGAATAGTTTAGACAAGCTGATCATTTGCGTGCTTTATTGGAGCTGCATACGGGTGTCTTTGGAACACTGTTGGGAGGGCAAAACGTGCCTTGAAAAGTAGCGCAAAACGTGACTTGGTAGTTTATTTAGGTGAGGGACTTTTTGGATTCACGTCAGAGCAAATAGGCTTTTGAGAAAAAGCCACCTTGAAGCAAAACCCAAAATAATGACTTATAAGTATATTCACGTAAATCGAAATAAAACTATCATTACATATTTATCTCGTATTCTATAAATTGTAATTAAAAAGCTGTTTTTAAGGGTTCCAATTACCATTCCAAACAAGTCTTGCATTTTTAATTGATTGCTTTAATTCCAGTCCACATGTTTCAGATCATGGATTTCCATCCCCTTCTCAAACAACTCTTTTCTTGTAATGGGAAATGGTACATTGTCATCATGAAGGACCTTGTCAAAAGTGATCAACGCTAAACCAGATATGAATTGCTCCAACATTATGTTTGTATCTTACTTTCTATCTTTTCCTCAAACAAATCCCAGTTCAAGTCTTGATAAGTGCAATATGGGACCAGACCACGCGACAATTAGCCTATCAGCCATCAGCATAAAGGTACAAGAGTTCAGCTTCTAAAAGTAATATTTCAAATTGCCGACAAATATCTTCAAACTGATGAAATTAAAACAGATCGAAGATGGCATACAAGTAGGACTTAAAATCTAATTCCAAAGAAGGAAAAGGGTCAAAGAACTTACAGTATCTCTCCACTTAATTGTTTTATTGTTATTTGAGAGAGTATAAATGAGTTAGTATTCTCTTAACAAAGATCCTCCTACCTTAACACGGATTTACAAGCTATCAACTGATTTTGAAGTTTTTGTTTTGCTCTAGCTTTTTTTTTTACCGTGTCAACATTCCACAAAGTGCATTATGTGAAATAAAACAAACCAAAAAACTAATGGAAAAAATATGTTACGAAAAGAATTTATGATCAGAGAGAAGAGATTGGGCCTGAAGTGGCTACGAACTGGGCCGATCTGATCCAACTGAATGAGGCCTAACTTTGAAATCCCATTCCCATCCATCACAAAGGAGAGGAGAAACTTGCTGGGCCCTGAAAAGCTTGAAACCATGTATCCAATTCATCAATATTGTCACATCCAGTTTCTTCTTGAATTTCCACAACCGCATCCAATCCCTTTTGGCCATCGTTATCTAAACTCGGCATTTCCATGTGGTCTTCTTCGTCACCATTATTATCAGCAAGAGTCCGCATGACTTCACGTTCTGTATCGCCAAGATTGAGCAGTCCCGTCTGGGAATCCCAACAGGAACGAACAGTGATGAGCACATAGAACAACGCTGATACACCGAGAGCAACCTTAATATTCATTTTCATGGCCGCGACGATGAGACATCCCAGGAAAAAATTGGACATACCCAGATCAAATTCTGGTTGGATTTGTTTAGACAAGCAGACCGACATGAAGGCAAATGCTGCAAAGGAGACAAGGCTCAACATGTTCCTTCGTCCCTTTTCGTCTTCCCCATGTTGTTTGCTTCGGTCTTCATAAAAAGAATAGAGAGAGGTGAGCATCAGAGCCAGAAACCCAACGTGTGCTTTCAGCAAGAAAACCTTAGAGAACTGGGGACACTTGTTTACCAACAGCGTCAAGATGGAGAATATGGTGCTCAGAGTGGAGTACAATACGATGCTGAACAAAGTCCAGTGTCCAAACAGGTCGCGGAATGAGGGGCTGAAGGCATAACAGACGAATCCAACTACACTTGACACGAAACCTAGGAATCTCCATACTTTTGGATGGATATTAATCTTAAACATCATGGTGGCTGAGAAAGCCGCGAGATCAGATTATTATATATGATGATGAGATTCTGGAGAGTATGTGTGAACTAATAATGGAAGGAGAGGGGTAGGCTTTGAGGTGGCAGTGGTAGCTCGAGAAGACGCGTTTTTGCGTAATGAGACGAAAGTACTTGGATATGGGGATTGTTTTGCTTCAATACTGCGTTAGTCATTTTCCTGAAGTCTCCTGTGGGTCAATTGGAACCTCATCGTAAAGGTAAGCTGATTCGTGATTTTATTTTCATAGATTGGATTCGTATATTCATAAATTCATTTTTTATGATTCTCTCATGGCGACGGTTAGATGAAGCCCATGATCTTGACTTTTGGCAAAATGAGTCCGTCGTTTTCCCCCGTAAATTGAACGCGGTTTAATATTTGATAGTAATTTAGTGTTTCACACAAGATGACAAAGATTCCAAACATAACTTTTGATGAGAGATATGAAGTCTGATTCCCTAACTTGTATCATACGTAAGTTGAAATAATCTTAGAAACTTCCTCTTGCCATTACAGTTAGCAGATTTAAATAAGCTTCTTCTCATGAATAATTTGAGAAGGAACATTCTCTTAATTAAGGATTTATTTCTTTGACTATGAGCTAGTGATCCTCAAAACATTCCCTGCATATTCTCAGGACAATTTGTAGTGTTTTGAGTCCTCAAGAAGATCTTCGAAATTTCCTTTTATTTTGATCTATGCTAATTCGTTCATCAATAACAACCTAACGTGGCGAGACGATGAAATTGTGGCACCAACCAAATTAGAAAATAAAACAAAGAACCACTCGAGTTTCAAAACTAGACGTGTAAAAAAAAAAAAAAATCAAAAAGTGTCCATTAAAGCGAAGTACGTAGGCAAAGCATGTAAAGTTTATGCTATCCTATGCAATGCTGTATCTAAAAGCCAAAATTCAAAAGTTGTATTGTGCAGTGTTATCCCCAAAAGCCAAAAAATAGCCTGATGCGTATTTGTGTCATGTATGAAGAGCTCAATTATGTATTTACTTAGACTTGCAACATACATGTAAAGTTTGTAAAGAAAATAAAATGTACAAAGATAGTTCTACATGTCAAAAGCAAATTATACATGACATTATTGAAAAGAATAAATTGTTGTTATTATGCAAATTATGTTCATGTGTTTTTCTTTGCCATATATTTTATGGCTTCAAGTGTTTGGAATTTTATTAACTTGTGATTACATTTCAAATGTCATTGTTTGCGATATTAAAATATGATAGCTACATATAACATTTAGAATTAATCAATTTATTGCTTCATCCTACCAATAAACTTGTTAGCGAAAATGATTATAATGTAGTGAGTGGGGGGAAAATAGGCTGAGTTACGTTGGAGGAATTGGGAACAAAAATGTTGATTAAAAGTCTCTTTTATGTTTTTTCCACACACCGACCTTACAACATATAAATCTGTATGTAATAATAAACCAACTTTTCTACTATTTGTTCTGTTACATTTTCTAACTCCTGATCTAATTTTGTTCCCATGTTCATTTTCATTTTCATGCTTCATCACTTCGTTCAAACTTTCCTATTTTGAATTTAAATTCATCTTCCATTATGTGGTTTCTATATAATTTTGAAAATACAATCTTACAAATATAAAATACTACGATAATATAAGCTTAAGCAAAAATTTTCACTTTTTCCATTAATTCCAAATATTTTAAGAAAATATGGTCATTCTTCAAATATCATCCTTCAATTAAAACATCATTTAAAAGCATAAACACCATACAATAGAAATCTGACCACCAACCAGCATATTCAAATAATGAAGGAACTCAACATCTATTTTTAATTGAGAAGCTATTTGAAAAAAAACAAGAAGAAGAAACCCGCCTATGACCCATTTCAAATTTCAGGAGCGAGCAAAACCTGATTTCTACCCCAAAAAAAAAAAAAAAACTAATTTCCACCAAGACTCAATTACTCATGCGATAAATAGCTCTTTCATCAGCAAAAACCAGCATGTACAGACAATCATCTTTTGATATTTGACTTGAGTAATTGAGAACTTAATTTCTATTCAGACTTATTCGTATCAGAACATATTTACAGGTTGCTTGAGAAATACATACACCGCTTAATTACACTCCCGGGCAAAACTGAACTAACTACCACTAAAACACTAACAGGCGCAGGCAGAATAACGCTTACAATGTACATAGATTGTCTCCCCAGGATCCAGCAAACGCGACAGACTGACTCGCAAAGCCACACAACCAAAACCCAGATAACATCAACACAACGCACTATAATTCATCATCGGCTTACCATATTGTGGGCTATGTTCTAACATCTTTCAGCACACCACCCTTTTCAAGCTCTCTAACCAGATCCTTCAGGGATGGAACCTTCATAGCCAAGGTCCTGTACAGTCTAGAATACCGTGCTCGAGTTCCATCCGCTGTCCTTGCTAGGGCAAGCAAGCTAAGAGCCTCAGGTAGTTCGGCAAATACTTGTTTCATTTCCTCTAAGCTCATGTTTTCCAAAATTGATGGTCTAGGGGCAACCCTCACAATCTCACCACCTCTAGGTTCTTGAACTCGAGAATCGGCTTTTATGACTAGTTCTGAACTTGAATTTGCCCCACATTTGATTATAAATGGGGAGGAAGTGCCTGTATTAAATTGGAGGACATTCCACTGTGCCACATCAGTTTCGGATCCGGAGCCCAGATCTGTTGAAGGCTTGCGAGCATGTGATAGATCTTGGATATTTTCATCAACTTCAGGAGTCGACTGCCTCATTAGACAAGAGAGGAAAGATTTAGGATTCACAGTACTTGGCGAAAGGTGAGACCCAGGTGTCTAATAATAAAAAGTTGCGTATGTATGTAGTAAATTCATGGGTCAAATAGTTCAAATGTTTAAGGAATTCAGGGACATAACATCAAAATTTAATACTATATACAAAAAATTTTGCAAAATGGGAATCGGACCCATGGCCCTCCACTAAATATAAATACAAGCTAGCCCCACAGGTAAAAACATTCCATACCTCAACCAAGTGGCGAGCACCTGCAATGAGACCCTTTGCGCATGGATGATCAATTTCAAGTAGCAAAGGCATCCGTTGTGTTAATTCATCCAGAGAAGCAAGCATTGCTCTCTTCTTACTTTTGCTCACAGCATTTAGTGTAGAATGTCTTGTCATATTCTGTTCAACTAATAACTTTAATTTTGATAACAATAGACTCAAATTTTAAAAATAATTTTGAACAAGCAAGTAAGAACCTTGATTTCTTTCAACATGCCATCAAGTGAAATGAGAGATGCTAATCGTGCATCTTCAGCTGCAGTAGGGGGGCTTCGAATAGGTGAACCACCATCATCCAATGTCAATAAAGCAGCGTCACTTCTCATTTGTTGCAAAATCTGCTGAGTAAAAAGCAACGCAGAGGATGATATATGTGTAAGAAAAAGAAATGCATTTGAATTTTTTTCCCCATTTGTTTTCACCTATAAACTACAAAATTCATAAATGATACTATGAAACATCCATTCTCAATGATAAGTAGTCATAGAAAGTTCACTGACTGAGGGCTAACTCTTTTCGCCTTGTTGATATAAAATACAAATAGATCGACATGAGAAATCTTTCAAGACCTAGAAGCGTTATAAGAAAATAAAAAAGAATGTTGGGAAAGAAGAAAGTACTAGAACTTTATGCACTAACAATGGATTGTATATTTGCAATGTTCTGCTAGCAGAGGAGTTTCTTTGAGAGGTCAAACGGATTGGAGGGGAGAAAATTACTCGAGTAATGTTGTCTACTTCCCCTTGTACCACATTCGTAGGAAGGTATCTCACTATATTAGCAGCCCAACAGAATAAGCACCACTAACAGGCTACAGCCATGGGATGCTATCTTATCATCTCACACGTTTCCCTCTTTGCCATTGAGAAAAAAATCAGTAAAAAATACAAAGAAAGCCAAGATTATTAATGGAGAACAGAAATGTCATAATAAACCTTCAAAGCTTGGATCTTACTGAAAAAGCACTATTCAGACATGTGATAATTTGCTTTCGTGAGTTCTGCATCAGCAAGTGATGAAAGTTGAATTTCAATAATGAGAGCCTAAGGTTCGCATGCAAAAAACTTTTTTAGTTGCCTGTTTCTGCCAATCAGTAAGATCTGAACTTATGTCTAAGTGAATTCTTTCCTCAACAATTTTACCGAGGTGAAGACCTGCAAATATAGGCCCTCTAGTTTTCTTGAGTTATGATTTCAGATTCTGGCCACAAAAAAGTAACAAAAGGGAAATTCTTGCATTTTATATCTTCCTCTTTAACTGTACAAAGATGGCCTCCAGAAGCATTCAGAATATGCATGAGTTAATACTTTATCTCCTGATGAACTCTTGATTATAGGCAAATAGGAGCTAATATATACAGTTAAAGGTAACCAAAAGATAACAAACATATATTACCTTTCTTCTTTTGTGATCAACGGAGTCAAGAGCTGAACGCAACTTGAATACTTGTGCTGCATCTTCCACCACTTCTGCAGCCAAGGTACCAGCAATATCCTGAAAATCAATGTCCAAAAACATATAGCCAACACATTATTCGAGAAGCAAAAAAGTCAGGTCTTATGCGCATACAGAAACCAGTGAAACAGGAATTCTAAATTTTCCATTTAAGGATAAACATCAACGCCATTCAATTCAATCAAGCAAATCATAAAAATTCAAGTAGCCATGTTAAATGAAGATCTCTTGTAGGCAGCAACAGAGCAACTTGATTATAACATCTCAAGGCTGGTTTGTAGAAAAATACAGGAAAATAATCTCATAATTTAATTAGAGCAACTTTTTGCTATTACTGGGTTCAGATAAAGGCTAACATTGAAACAGGTAAGAAAACAAGGCAGATGGTAGCTTAACAGGGGAGAATATTTCACAGTGAAGGGACAGAACATAGTATAAAGATTAGTAATGTAGAGCATGC